GTGTGTGTGTGTGTGTGTGTGTGTGTGTGTGTGTGTGTGTGTGTGTGAGAATGTCCTTGAGCCTTTTGAGATGAAAGGAGAAAAAAATAAAATAATAATAATAATAATAATTAAAAAACAAAGTATGTGTGCATATGGATGTTCATGTATGCATGTACGTGGGTTTCAATTGGTTGTCAGGCAAGAAAAACAACAAAACAAAAATCAATAATAGCAATAAATACATAAAAAAAATAGATATATACTATACAAATTTTAATATTAATAGGATGGGTGATGTCACGTTTGCAGAAACATAGTGAGGGATGACCAGGTGGAGTGGTGTTCTGTTGTATTGTACAGTATATGATGGACGAGTTTAGATTGTCCATTGAAATATATTCTATCATTAAGTTTCTCCAGTGTGTGTGTGATGTGTGTTATTTCTTGATTTCCAGTTCACGAGGATAGTTTTCTTGGCGATAGTTAGGGCCACGAGGAGTAATTTGCGATTTGTTTTACTCAGATGTATTGTTGAGATGTCTCCTAGTAAGCACAGTGAAGGGCATAATGGGACGAGGCAGCCCAGGAAGACAGACAGTGACTCAGTTATTTCTTTCCAAAAGTGATTAACTGGTGTGCAGTGCCAGGTGGCGTGAACATAGCTATCCGGGCTGTTTTGAGTGCAATGTGGACAGATATCTGACGTGAATCCCATTTTAAACATTTTTTGCCCAGTGTAATGAATTCTGTGAAGTATTTCATACTGTATTAGTTGTAAATTGGCATTTTTAGTCATGAAGTAGATGTTATTGCAGATTTGGTTCCAGAAATCAGCATCAGGAGTGATGGACAGGTCTGATTCCCATTTTCTTGATGGTATGGATGATGTTTTGTCAGACTGTGATATTACTCTCCATATTTTTGAGATTAACTTTTGTTGAGGAGGGGATATTAATTAATTCTGAGGTTGAGGGGGGTAGTTCTAGGTTAGTGGCCTTAGTGTTAAGTTTGGATTGAACATATGATTTGAGTTGCAGATATTCCAAAAATTGGTTTCTCCTGATGCCGTACTTCTGAACCAAGTGGGGGAATGAAACCATGGTGTTATTATTGAAGATATGTTTCAGATGAGTGATGCCTTTAGCGGACCATGTGTGGAGATTAAGAGGTGTCTTGTGACTTAGAAAATCAAGATTGTTCCATATGGGAGTAAAATTTGAAGGTGCAAAAGTGATGTTATTGATTTTGTGGAATTTCCACCAGGCTGTCAGAGTTTCTGCTGTTGTTAGTGTTTTGAAACAAGGATGGCGTTTGATAGATTGGCTTAAAAATGGTAGGTCAGAAATCTGAATGTCCTTACAAACTGTCTGTTCTATATCTAACCATGTGTTGTCTGATTTGTTGGCACTGATATTTATTTTTCCACCGTATTGTGCTGTTGCTTTAGTCAACGTGGGGTAGATGCAAAGTCAAAGTGTTTACCATTTCTACCAGTAGATGACAGTATAAGTGTATTTAAACCATCGATTTAGTCATATTTACCTTTGCTTTCTAGGTTATTGATACAAATGTATGTAATGCTGATTATTTAATCTGATATTTGATGTTTATGGTTAATTTGCAACCTAGTTGTATACATCATGTATTTACTTGTTATTTTTATGTCATGGAAGTGTGAGCATGTGTAGTTCATGAAGCAATAAATAATGACAATTGAACAATTAGAGACGTTTGGTTGAATGAATTGTTATCCTCGCACTAATGTGTTCGTTCACGCAGTTTGTTTGTATTTATCATCCTTTCCTTTCAGTTTATTAAATACTTGTAGTCATCACACAGCAGCAGGATCGATGTGCCTCCACATTGAAAGAGGCACTTCGCGCATTTTTCGCACGTGGCACAGCCTCGTAAACTTAACTAAAGAGGTCTATTCAAATCTCCCGAGAGGACAACGTGATCGCTGATGATCTAACGGTAGTGACCTGACCGTAAAAAAACATCTGGAAGACAGCAGCCGTCCTCAGGATGAGTCCAACTCCACCAGAGCTGGCAGGCCGTTTTGATTATACCTAAAATACTCCATTTACTATGGATACAAAAGATGATGTTATATCCTGACGGTTAATGTTGCTGCTTAAATGAAAAATTACACACTGAGACAACACTTTTACATGTGTTATTTTGCGACATGTGCTACAGTATAATGACTCCAGTCGTCTCATTACACAGACGAGACGATCATTACGCACAGACAAGAAACCCCGAAATTCATAATTCAATTCACCTAAACTGAAATTCAAAATCACCATTAAGTCAACACACAAGAAACAACAACTGGACATCTGTTACAGGGCTGTTGTTGCATTTCACATCACATCAGCCTCTTTCTGGCCACTCAGTGTTTCTTACCCACAAGCTGCATTCATGGTCCCAAAAACGTGTCTTGTTCTGTTTAGTGTTGCTTCATAATGAGAATATATAGAAGCAGTGATGAAGCTGCTGTACCATGTAAACTCCTTGTTGTTGTAGTATCAGCTGTTTGTTGAACAGTATAAAGAGTGTAAAAAGACTGGGTCCCGCTGTGTTACTCAGGCTGCACTACAGCATCTATTCACAGGCGCGATCCCACTACTGAGCGGCACGAGGGCTTTGACCTGCTGTGACGTCATTAGGGTGATCAAGCGGAATCTAGTGATGAAAACAAAATCTGCAGCTGCAACGTTGAAGGCTGATCAGCCATTACAATTGACCTAAAACCTTATTTCAATAATGGTCTTTATCTCGTATCTTTAAACATCTGTGTGCTCAGTATGAGTTGACTATCATCCACAGTCATGCACAGTTTATGTTTCTTTTAATGTCAACAGATTTTATGATACAATAACTTATATTCACAATCTGTCTTTCTGGTGAGTAAATTAGATGTCTATCTATCTATCTATCTATCTATCTATCTATCTATCTATCTATCTATCTATCTATCTATCTATCTATCTGTCTGTCTATCTATCTATCTGTCTATCTGTCTATCTATCTATCTATCTATCTATCTGTCTGTCTGTCTGTCTGTCTGTCTGTCTATCTATCTATCTGTCTATCTGTCTATCTATCTATCTATCAACCCACCCATCATTACTCTTTTGGAGATTGTCTTGATCTAAAGTTTCCATTTACTGTTTCATATCATCAATACAATAATTTAGTGCAGGCTCAAAGCGAAGGCTGACGACTCACTCTGCCGGAGACCATCCATAGCTTGAGATAAGTAACCCAAGCGTGAAATCCGTAATGCGCCTGCGCCAGTTACGTAGCTCTATTATTGTCACGTGATAGCTGACTCAACGCCACAAACTTTTGCAGAGGAGTTACTAGTAACTGCTAGAAATGATGACATATCAAGAAACACTTTCCGGTGACGTGTGACTACGATAGATATATATACGTACATTGATAGCGTCCTCGGAGGGTTAAATCATTTGAAGCGGACTCGATGTACACACTTTGAAACACCCATCTAACGCTAACGTTAATGTTAGCATTAGCATTAGCTAAAGCATCACGGAAGGAGGAAAAGGGGTGTGCGAGCCTCGCGACAACCGACTGAACTCACAGTAAGTTTATTATAAGCCACTGATGATGCTGATACGTTTGTCTGCGGAGGAGTTTTATTCGTTTCTTTTTCTCAAAAGTTTATATTTTGCTCATAACAACAGACTTCTTTGGGAGGCTATTGACAGTCGTCTCCCCTGCTCAGCATTTTGCTCAGAAGCTAGTTTATCAAAAATCTACCACTGTTCTCCCAGTATTAGCAGAGAGTTCTTTCTGAAGAAGGACTCTGGGAAGTTTGGGTCACATAATGTCTGCATAATATATACACTATCAGCATACAGCATCTTTTGGTGTTGTCTAATATTGCAGTACGAGTACGTAACGTCAGTATGTCAAACCTTTTTTGAAACAATGCCCCTTTGTTTCCTTTATATTAAACCATTAGGCAGATCCCAAAATGCCTGCGTGTGTCAGTTGACTGTTGCTGATGGTTTTACTAGATATTTGTGTGCACACCTCACTTTTAGATCAGACTAGTGTGTGTGTGTGTGTGTGTGTGTGTGTGTGTGTGTGTGTGTGTGTGTGTGTGTGTGTTTTATCTCAAACACAAAGCCACAGAGTCACTAAATCTTTGTAAATGGACCAACTCTAAAAAGTGATTCCTGATGACACATATTCATAGATTTAAGACTTGATGCTCTGATTTTAGCTTTAGGGTTTTGGCAGATATTATATAACTTATGAATCCTACTCATGGTCTTGGTTCTATTTACTGCAACCAAAATGTAATCTTGTAGCTCTTTTGTTTTTAAATGGACATTACAAGAAGACGATATAGAAGAGCGATTCGTGTTCTGAGTTTTTGCAATGGTGATTCCAGAGTCGAGGAGCAGCTAAAGCACAATTATCTTTATTTTTCAGCTTTGACATTGGGATATCCAGAAGTCTGTCATCCAGGCTCATCTTCCCAGGTGGCTTCCACTATCTTTTTCTTCCAGTAAAGCAGAAATGACTGAATTATAATCTAACACTTTTATCTTCCCAGTTTGTTTTGGGAATGCGGAACCGACACAGGGGATCCCATCTGGGCCTGATGCTTCTGGCCTCCCAGGTGTTTCAGATGGGTCTGGACAACATCCCCCCAGTCACTCTGGCTGTCCTGGGACTCAACGTGTACCTTTACCTGTTCCCTGCAGCTCCACTGATGCAGGTAAGGCACACATACAGAGACTATCATCTACACAACTTGCTGCGTCCGACTTATCTCATGGGACAGCTTGCTGCTTTTCTTTGGCTTATATCACAGTAAATGGCAGCTCCAACGATAACGGGGTCCAAATATAATTATAAATGACTTCTTACTGTCGGGGCTTTACCATCTTACAGAAATGACATGCACCATTGCCTTGAACTGTATTTATTTGATATTATTTGTATCATTATGAATAATACTATCTTTCCAACCCATAGGCCTGTGTGAGTGTTCAGCAGGCATACTGGTTCAAGGACTGGCGCCGCCTTCTGCTGTCCCCGCTGCACCATGCGGATGATTGGCATCTCTACTTCAACATGGCGTCCTTCCTCTGGAAAGGCACCAAGCTGGAGCGACGGCTGGGCGGCCCCTGGTTCCTCTACCTGCTGTCGGTCTTCTCGCTGCTCACCGGGTTGGTCTACCTGGTGTTGGAGGCACTGTTGACAGAGCTCACCCAGGACCAGTCCTACAGCATGGCCTGTGCTGTTGGCTTCTCAGGTACAGACTCGTCTACAAAACTCTCAAACGATGTACACTGGTATAGAAGATTGGACTTTTTTATGTAGCTCTACTGGTACAACATGGAATACACATTCAAATACACTTTTCCTAAAAGTAAAGTCAAATAAATACAGGGAAGTATGTATTTATTGATAATTACTTTTTTTTTTTGTTTTCTCTAAGCTCCCTGTTTGCATTCTCTCATTTTTGGCTGCATCCAAAGTGTGCGTTTATTGATATTAGTTTTTTATTGTTGCATGTTATTCCGTTTCTTCTTCTGTGAAGATGCTTTGCAGTTTACACCAGCCGATGTAAAGTATCTCCCGGCCGACTGCTGTAGTCTCCCAGTGGTAAAATTACCTCATTGATTAATCATTGATTCATCTTTGTAAATATGTCTGATGCTTCTAGGTGTCCTGTTTGCTCTGAAGGTGCTCAGTAACCATTACCACCCTGGAGGTGTGAGCTCTGTGATGGGCTTCCCTGTGTCTAATCGCTATGTTAGCTGGGTGGAGCTAGTGCTGATCCACATCACATCCCCTGGGTGAGTTCCCAATCGGACACGATTGCATTAAAAATTCACCAGGATTCACCGGGCAGATATACTGCAGAGATACTAGCGCGAACCCTCTTGGTGCGGGTAGCAGGGCACCAGCACTGACGGGGTTAATTCTTCTGTTTTCAATGGGATGACTCACGCTTAAAGGACCAGTTCACAAATGTTCAAGTTGCTCTCTATATATTTGCTATAGTATGACAAGCCTGTTGTATACCGTACAGCTGTACAGCTGTCGGTACGCTCTGCAACTTTTAAAACACCTCCCTAAACATTTCATCAGAGGATTCAGGCTTGAGCCAAGGAAGCCGATTTCAACTTCAAACATCTGTCAGGAGTTCAAAAGAAAATATATGTTCAAACTATGTTTGGAGCAATTAAAAAAAATGGAAACTATATTTTAGGAGTAAATAGAAATATGTAGCACATGTTTAGAACACAGCTTCTGTTAGTAAAGTTTCCCCTTTTCTACATGCTGTCAGATGTTATTATTGAACGTGTCCACCAGGTGGCAGTGTCTCATTAGTTAGGAATGAATCTGTGCTCTGCTTCTTCAGGACCTCTTTCGTTGGTCACCTGGCCGGTATCCTGGTGGGTCTGCTCTATACTGTTGGACCACTGAAGGCCATCATGAAGAGATGTGCAGGTCAGAAATAAGTGTGTGTGTGTGTTTATTCACGAGTTGTTTACACTTGTGTATGTGCAGACTGCATTTCTATAACCTTAGGTTCTTGTAACCTGTTAAAAGGTGTATGACTGTATGATCTTTAAAAAAAAAGTCTAAAGATAGTTTTTCTTGAAAAGAAAATCCTCAAGCTTTAAAAAGTAATAATTAAATGTGATTCAGGTCATATACTAGCATCATGGTGGTTCTCCTGTGCAGTAACAATCAGTACAGGTTTGCTAAGTGACAACGTGTGTGAATAGAAATAGATCTGACACTGGAGATAGTTTCTACACCATGTGTAGATCTATGTTTCTTTGTATTAATCCAGATACAAATCTAAATGCACATCAACAACACTTCTGTTTGCACTGACATTGTCTGCTTGTCTACATTTTCACCAGGGTTTGTGACCTCGAATGGACATAACTCCCGGTCCAATGCGTACTACAGCTCTTCAGGCTTTTCAGGTACCTAATGGGCTTTTTCCAGAATTAAATTAAATTATTCGCTATATAGTCGTTTTTTAAAGGCTGAATCAGAAAGTATTTCGAGACAGACTCACATTGCTGATTTTGGTCTTTTCAGAGAATTTGTTGACATTAACAGGACTATGGAACACACCAGCCTCAACATTTTTAACGCGTTTTCTTAAATTTGAATACTTATGCAATGTGTGTGCTTGTGTGTGTGTGTGTGTCTGCAGGCTACAGTGGCACTGGTGGAGGATACTCCGGATACCATCAGTCTCCACCAGATCACACAACGAGTCGTACACCATCTTATACAGGTGGACTGACGGAGGAGGAGCAGATAGAGGCGGCCATCAGGAACAGTCTGAATCACGGAGGTAAGGGAGGTTGTGTGGTGACACTGAATTCTAGAAGCTGCCGATTAAAAGCCACCCCAGAGAAGAGTCGGCTCAAATCTAAAGTCTGTAAATCTAATTTTGCAGGACAAACCAGCCAGAGACGAGATCCACCTCCCTACGGGTTCCGCCTCTCTGAGGAGGCGACAGCTGAGGAGATCAGGTTGAGGAGACTTCGGAGGTTCGACAGCTGAACTGCGGAGGGGAACAAGAAGAAGGTGTAGGTGCCAAGAGAGGAGCTCCCTCCTGAAGCAAATTCTCCTTCACAGGCTGAGGAATAGCAACCCCCATATGAGAAGGTCCAACCACACAGACCGACACTTTTATTGTGTGGCCCCTTGTGCCTCTTTACCAAAGAGTTAATGTTAGCTCTGGAAAGCTACTTGAATGTGAATAACTAAAGAGTTCAATGGCTTGTGAGCAGGTTAGGTTTGAGTGTGTCTGATGATGCTGAAGCAGCTGCCAAATGGGGGTATTTTGAAAAAAGTAAATGGGCACTTGTTTTGAATTTGTCATCAGATTTGCTGTTGTTACACCACTTGAAGTTGTGAAATGGATACAGGACATAATATCAAATGCCTCAATTTAAAATTTGAAAATCAGGAGAAAAAATGGTCAATTTCCTTTCTTTTGCTCCATCCAAACCGCATTAGACCAGGAGTAGATCTAGATACTGTATTTGAATTAGTCAAACCTGGACTTCAGAGATGTAAAGTTCCGTTGCAACTTTGTAAAACCTTTTCTTTTTGTTTCTGAAATCAGGTAAAAAAAACGGGCTAGACCACGTACAACCAAGTGTAGCTCAAAATATGGTACTTCTACTCGTCAAAGCTGGGCCAGCTTATGTCGATTCAGTCGAATGTGGTTTCTGATCTACACCTGTTCTTATGTGGTCGTAATGGAGGGAAAAAAGCTGTGAAATCAGCCTCTTTTTCTTTTTTTTTCTTCTCACAAGTAGAATAAAAAACAGGAGGATGCCAATTCAACAAAAAAATAATTCAACAAAATGTTAAATCTGAACCGGACAGTATTTTCAAAGTAGGTAAAGCTGATTGATATCAGCGAAACCTGAATGATTCTTTGGCACTTGAGGAAAGCTGCGGGTCCCTCCAACGCTGTTCCTGACCGATTCCTTGTTTCCCCTCAAATCAGCTTTTCCCAGATTACCAAAACACCATAATCATAATAGTAATAACAATTAGACTACCACCATAGTTGAATGCTGCCCTGATGGGCCACATCTGGTTTCACAAAGGCCCAGCTGGCTCGTGTAACGATTCATCTGCAGTAAAAGTTCTTCTGAGCACACACGGTACTGCTCCTGGTCGGTGTTTCTGACTTAGAACAATCCACGCAGACCAGTGTCACCCAGTGTTATTAATGACATTAATTACCCCAAAACACATAATGTGTAGTATTACTTCTACTACCCATGTGTCAATACATTGTTTTTGCAACCTTACCACCGTACTACTCCGAACTTTCTAAACAGTCACCAAGCAAGAGTGACACTGGCTGTAGGCAAAGTTACAAAAGCGACGTTGAAGAAGTACATCGCTGGCTCTGATTCCCCTAAAGCCCCGAGGCATGATGGGAAGTAGGACAGCTTAAATTAGAGCCAAGAAACCCAACGAGCCAAGAAACCCCCATGGGCCCGAAACCATGCTGCAGCGGATACGATCCAAACTGTACGTCCCGGTCCCCGACCCACAGTAGAAAGAAGGGGCCAAAAAAGGTTGCGTGTTAGATATCCGGTCTCAAAGTCAAGTCTTTTTTTTGTTTATACAGCCCGATATCACATGTAGAAGTGTTTTGACATCAGACAGATTTGATGGTTTGCGTAGTTTTCTTTGTTGCACACTGCCAAAGGGGAGCGAGGGGCTCTGGCAGAACATGAAGGGGGGGGGGGGGCTGAAGAGTGACGGCGGGGATGACAGGATGAGGACAGGGATGACATGACGCCCGTACTACCCGGGGGTGCACATTAAAGGGACGTGTTGGTGGTTTTATGTCTTTGTCTGTCTTCACACGTCGGGGAAGTTGCGTCTCAGTTCGTCGTCGCACCTCGTCCTGTAAACGAGCGGCGCTCCGCCCGCCGTGACTCTGTCACCGAGAAATAGAGACGAAACTGTGAGAGACGCTCCCGGTTCACGTGCGGAGGCTGTTTTACTTGACCGTCTCGGGTGGCAAGGAGGCTCAGCGATGGTCGCTCATCGCCCACAACATTCTGCTTCAAGCCCTTTTCAATCAGTTTGCCAACAATTAACGTTGATCAAAGTCTTGTATCAGTTCGGCATCTGCTCTACTCCAGGTGACGGTGACACGGTTACACGCACAAAACAAGAGACATGAGGACAATTGACCGTTTTTTTTCTTTTATGCTGGCTAGAAACCAAAAATGTGTTATTTCAATTGCAGTGGCGCCAAACTCTGAAGTGTTTTTGTTCATTTATCTCTTTTGTTATCGTTACATGGCAACAAAATAACATATTGTATAAGTGCTTTTTATAAAATTGATACGGTTTGCTTAGCAGTTCAGATGTCGGTGTGTGAGGTTTCAAATGAAATTGGGCTGAACAGAGTGATTTGTATGTTCAACGATTTACACGCTGCCCCAAAAATGTCTGGAATATTTACATTTAGTGGTCACCCTTTATAGACACAGACTGGGATATTGTGTGTTTATATATATATATTTTATTTTACCTCTAGATGATCATCTATAGAGAAACAATGTCTGTCATGTCCACACAACAATAAAAGAAGTGGGAACAACACAGCGGTGTGCTAATGTGTTTTTTCTTTAACCGTGTGAGGAAGTTATTCACTACTCAAGTACTTTCTATTGTTAATACTGTTATACTCTCACACAACTAGTTATATTGATGATTACTTGTACTTCTACCCAAGTACCTGCTGTTATAATGTAACAGTACTTTTACAGGAGTGCAGTTTTTGTCCACTCTACCTGCCTTTGCCTGAATGGAAATGAAAACTTTGCAGCATGCGTTTGAAAATGTTCAGTGATTTATAGTTTACTGACTGATGAGCAATATTTACAGGAATATGCCACCATGGCAGAATAATAGTTGAAACACTTCCTAAGACGCCTGTCTATAATGCATTAATAACATACTTATAATCTGTTATCTGTTTATGTCACTTTAAGATTATGGTTATAAGCACTCAATAATAGTAACACATTATGGTGTAATACGTAAAGTAAACAAAGTAACTGCATAGATTTTATATTTTTTCACTTTACTCAAAGCAAATAATGACTACTTAGGTTAACTTATAATGCATTATAAAAATATAATGTATTACAACTATGGAAATTCTAATAACTACTTTATGATCCTGTAAAGAAATGTTTGAGTGGCTGTCGATTATGAAATATTATGATACTTGACCTTATAAGTCATTATAAAATGCTTCATGTTGTGTTAAGATACTTGTTAAAAAGCATTCAGATTTTGTATGAGTGCTACAAGCGGGTTATAACGCATTATAAGTATGTTTATAGTGCATTAAAGTCATGGGAGTCATGGAAAGTGTTTCCCCTGTTACAGAGCATAGACGGTCATTTCATGGAGAACTGTGTTTTTAGATGTATGATTAGTATGTCATCCTTCCATCATGGTGACCGTGAAGCCACTGGTGAACAATCGCACCATGACGGGGCTCGGTTTCAGACAGGGGCATGTAGGTGGGTTCTTCATGCCCCTAGGATCTCTGGCTGAGCTTATCAGAAGCGTGCCACATCACTGCCATGTGCCGCAAACACCCTCCGCTCAATCCAACGTGAAGGTCAATTTGTCTTCGCATCCTGCCGAGGCCTGCTGGGGTCCCAATAGACTCCCACTGGACCGATAGCTGTACCACTGCATAAAGGAAACAAGCTTTTTGTGAAAGACGGAGCCGCAGTTTCGGATTTCTTTCCTCTCCACTGTGCAGTGATTAACTTCATCACACTCGAATCCTACTCAGCAACTGGTAAAGTCTTGTGGAGAATGTCATTAGCTCGTGCAGAGGTACAAGCCCAGGGCTCATTTTTCCGAACAGCTTAATCGCTTGTGTGCCAGAGTTACATGCTGGCGATGATGACTAAAGAAACTTCGCCACACTATTTATAGGATAATCTTGTGAAATCCCCCATCGCTCCCACTTCTAATCATCCTGCTGACTTTGTTCTCCACTCTCCCTGTTCTTCCCTGCCCCGTGGTGGAACTTAATGGAACTTCCTGTTTGGGCTATTGGAGGCCCCCGCGCACCCACGTCTTCAGTCATTCTGGATGATTAGAGCTCTGTTCAACAGGACGGGGAGGGAGTTGTCGGTCAAACGCACACACACACACACACACACAAGGTTTTAAGACAAGGACATAGTGTCAGCGACACTAATGTAGTCTCATTACATGAAAGAATTGCCCGCACACGGACAAAAAATATTTAAGATGTTAAAAGAAATCGGTTTATGCAAAAGCTGACACACTGACCAAAACTCTCCCTTTTTTGACACACTTTTCATAAAGGATCATCATCAGATAAACCCTGTTAAAGGTGTAGCACGGCTGTGGAGGTCGTTTTTATTTCTTGGGTGAACTTTTGTTTACAGAATCCTGCTGTTTTCACTCCCAGGTCAGTATTCTTGTGTTTAGTCTACTGGGAGGCTACGTGTGCATTGGACGTGAAGCTAAAAATGCTTTCCAAGTCAAATATTAATGCAAGTGGTGGCTCATGGTAATAATTATGAACCATATTTTGCATTACAGACTGTAGGAATACAAAACTGATCATTCACCTTGTCGCTTAAGATGTTAATAACACAAATATGGAATTATTTCCAGCTATTTATAAAAGGTTTCTTTCTGTTTTTGCAGCGATATGAAGTTCTTTAGAGGTCAGTAAACAATCTTATCCACCTCATCTGTTGGCACAATATCGCGGGAACCAAAGGGGGGTTTCCACTGCTTAACATGTGCCTTGAAGTTAGTGAACATGGAAACAAGAAAGCCTATAAACTTGTCTTCCAGCCATTTGTCTTTTCGAGCAGCTGTTTGATCAGTTATTCCAAATATACTGTATTCTCCCCTTGTTCTGTCATTCAAATTACTGCTCATACAAAATACAATTTTGTCTTGATGACATTGAGTTGCAGCCCATAATGCAAAAGCTTTGCTTCCCCTTATTACTGCTTGATTGGTATGGATTTAGTCTAAATCAGTATGAAGCAATGATGAAAACAGTCTCGTTAATATTTCTATGACTATTCGAGAGAAGGAAGTGAAGGTTTTCAATCAATATCAAATAAACAGAGTCTGATGAATGATCAAAGTTGTAAAGTCAATTTATTGCGTTGCAAGCAAGGAGAACAGATTCACAGACACGTATTGCAGAGTCTGATGAGAATGCCCCACGAATCATCTCCGTACATTCTAATTTATATCCTCACAAAACAGAAAGGAGACAGTAAGAAAGGTCAATGAGGAGACGAGAAGGAGGGGGCCATGTCTTGCATATTTGCTCTTAACACCTCGAAAGCGTATCTTCTGCTGTCGTCTCATACGGAACCTTTTGCGGTCACAGCAGGTGTGTCCTATTGCACATCTTACAGAGAAATATGCTGGGGACATGTTAAAACATTTTTTACCATTACAATATTCACCGTCTACGTGACACTTTTGTCCAAAGCACTCTCACAAACGGAGCTATTTGGGGCTGAGTGGTTTCCTCAAGGACACTTAGACATGTGGACTGGAGTAAACAAAGGAGACAGGAGTACTACTACAATAAAGTCTGAATGCAAAAGTAAGACCATGCTCTAGATCTGTAGTGTTGAAATATAGAACTTGCGTATAAACATGCCTTGATGTATGCAGTAGCCTGACTCACACTGATATCATTATTTAGGTTAAAAAAAAAAATCTGATGATTTTTAAAAACATAAACTCATAACATAAACATTGTCTTTTGTTTCGTTCCACTAATTGACAAATTTGCGTGATGCCGTCATCAATTCAATGTTTGAAGTGTACAGACAAACCCGACCTCATTTGATCGTATTTATTTCTACATACTTATATATTTGGAAATAAATCAGCTGGTGCTTGCCAAAACTTTCTGGGTAAAACTCACACTTTTCCCAAATATGCGAGTAGAAGACAATATTCGACTATTTTGACAGTTTGGGTCACAGGGCGCACCGAACAGAAGTCATGGATTGAACCGAACTACCTGTACGGAACAGTTCAGGATAAACACACGTTACGTTCCACCGCTAATACAGACACAGATATATATCAGCAGATATATCGACCTGGTCCAGTAATTGGTTTAGCACCAATGAATGCATATATTGTGATGTGTGTATTTATATGTAAAAGAGCTTTTGAAACTTTTCTATATATTGAACTGAACTTTGCAGAGTTCATTTAACGTTGAACTACCACCAGTAGCAGTTAAACTGCTCTGGATGTGCATGTGTTCTTTGGAAAATACAGTGCCCGCTTCAAAGCTATAGACAGATAAAGCAAACACATTTAAACACATCACAATTCAATTGATTGCATCCCCAGAACACAACCAGCCTCAGAGTTTGTGCATTTTTTTAGGTTCAAATCTACTTTTTTACCTTGTTGTCTTCTGTGCTGCTGTCACACATTCTCTCCCTCATACATTTCACTATTTTGTTCTCTCCTGCATCTCTACTTGCTTTAGGAATTTTTCTCCCTTTTGAATTTTGATTCCTCCCCAGTGTGTGCGCTCTCCTCCCACCTTTTCTAAAACTCTCTTTTCCCCTTTTTCTCTCTGTATCTCTGCCTCCTTGTGTGCGTCTCTCTCTCTCTCCTCCTCCCTTGATGTTTCTTTCTGTTTGTCTCTCGATTCGTCTCACACAATCTAGCACTGGTTTTGATCTCGCTATACCGTTCTTTCCCTCACACTTTCTCTCTCTCTCTCACACACACTCTCAGTCTCTTTCCTCCTGGTTGCCTGCAGATCAGAGATAGCATGTCTGTCAGTAAGCTACAGAGGTACCGAGCTCCTTGATTCATCCCAGCTATCTGGGTGACCCATTTCTGCACAAAGTCGCACCTTTCAAAGCTGTGAAATAAAGTACTGTGAAGTGTTTCACCACATCAGTTCAACAATATACCTACATCGCCAACACGTGATTCTTTCTCCGCTATAGATCCTGTGTGCTTTCAGAAATGGAGAACCACAGGGGTCTGTTCTTGGCCCACCGTGCAGGAGTAGGCCCCATGTGTGAAGAACAGACGAAACACACCTTAAGATCCAAACTGGACCTTGGACACCAGAGAATAAAACTCCTCTCTTTGCCGTCACAAGACTCCCGCAACAAATCCTGAAGATCCTTTGATTTCTTTGCTCGGAGTATGTAGAGATCCAACTGTGGGCAGAGGTTTGCCTATCGTACTGAAGGCCTTGTTCACGATCTGCAGTAGTTACTTTCCATGTTTGACTGTGCGGTAAGAGAGGATGTGATGATGGACTCAATGAGGGCTGGGTAGAACACAACGACAAGTTGTTGCGGTACTATTTAAGCTCTCTGAGAGAAACAAACAAAGCTTTTGCAATGATGTGTTCAGTGTTAGGTTTCCACTTCAGGTTATTGCTAATGTGTGTTTCGAGGAATTTTAAGGAGTTGATGGTGGTGACGGGGTCTTTTGGGGTTTCACAAGTAACGGGAGTCAGTAAGGAGCTCCTTGGTTTCGGCTGTGTTAAACCGTCCATTTTGAGAAATGTGACAAATGTGACAACCTTTGTGACAGCAAAGGACAAAATATAGCAAACCTGCACCCCAACATAAATGTTGTGTTAATATTTGTTCCACTAGGGATATTTAGCTGTTGCTGTTAAAGTAAAACCGAGTGCGTTAACTCGTGTGTGCTCAGGCATCTGTGGTGACTAAAACTGGCAATTCTATTTTCAGTTTCCACAACCAGAAGCTGATTCCTGGCTGCTCGCCTTGCAACGATTTTTAAAAGCTAGTGTTGAGTCCTGCCTCATGCACCAAGGACACAAAACACGTGAAGAACATTGAAGCCATCTGAGATAGAGCTACAATAAATATGTGCCACACACACACACAGGTTACTGCAGTGACATGAACCTCCCCCCAAAAATGTGACAATGTGGATTATTATTGAGTTATTCTACATACGGGGCTTTAATGATAAAACTACTGTCTATGGCTATTTTGCTATATACGGTGATGACATGCTGTGATGTGATCTTTGAATGTCTTTTGTGTAAAAGTTATTTATTTTATCAGAGGGAATGTATACACTTTGTATTCTCTATATTCATAGAATTGCTAATATCTAGTGTACAATAAAATGCTGCATCAATGATTTGACACTTCACTTCTTTGCAATACATTTATTTGCTGTTAATACTTGCATGCTGTGCTTAAATAAAATGAAGAATACAGTACTTTTACTTGTAGTATCTCTATACTGCGGCATGTCAATAATATATTCACCACTCATTCATTTCACAAGATAAATTCCCTCAGGGGATAAGGAGAAACCACCGGATGCTGTCAAACTCTTCCCTGCAGGCACCTTAATCTGATGAGATGTCTCCTATATGAAGAAGATTCTATATTCTGCATAATTGGGTTAATGTCTATACAGGCTTTGTGAGGATGGTGACATAAAGAGAGTAACATTACCCCACTAAGCTCAACTCTGGGGAGTGGAATAGCAGTGCAATTAACGATAACACACGTTTTTATTCTGTAACAGAAACAAAAAATCACCCTAAAGACTGGACTAAAGAGCCCCACTGTGGGAACCAGTGTGAAACATTTGAACGATCTCTAATTGTAGATAATTGGCTGGCAGGAGGGAAACACCCCTCACCCCCTTTGACCTGCTGTGAAAGTAAAACATCACCGGATCCACTCCACGTTTTGTCCCCGCCGCCCTTATTATTAAGCGCCGTGTGGGAGAATTAGAGGAAATAACAACGCACTACGAACAAGAAGCGCGTGCAGGATAACATGGAAGAAAGGAAAAGAAGCCGCTGCACCACGCGCTGACTGAATGAGGAGCACACATGATGAAGGAGAACGAGGACGCAGGACGTATTTCTTTGCTGCCGCCTTTGCCGAAGCATCGTCCGCACCTTCACCGGAGGATGCTGCCGCCGCCGCTGCGCCTCTTGAACCGCCGCTATCTCCTCGTGGTCTCGTGCGGTCTCCTCAATTGCATCTCACTTTGAATCTCGCAACGTGAGACGGGCGAAAGAGAATGTGCGTGAACGGGCTTTCCGTGGGAGCGGGGAGGTTGACTTGACGGTTAGAAAAAGGGTTTTTTTTCTTTCTGTGCAGCATCTGCAAGGATTTTTTTTCCTGCGCGCGGTCCTCCTCAGTCGCATCACTGCCGACTTCTACGCAAAGGAGGAAGAAAACAAACAAGACGGACTTGATAATATCCTCAGTGTTGAATTATTTAGGAGTATCTGTTCCTCGAGATCACCGTATGCTGGTGTCTTTGTCTTACATCTTCCGCGCATGAACCCTCCCCGTGCTTGAAGTGGCGTTAACGTGGATGAAAGCCGATGGCCAGGCGCCCCAAAATTCCTCAGATGGGGGGGATGCAACCTAAAATAACCCCGATGCCAAACGGTAAGAGAGCAGATTTATTACCCAGGAATCGGTAAGGCAGTAAGGTCTCTGTTGGTCTTTGCTCTTCCCCCCCACAAGGTGTGCCCGTTTTAACCCCGCTTTGCTGAATTATCCCCCCCCCCCCCGCAGCTCTCCGCGCATCGCCAGCCGAGGGAGCCCGGAATCTGTGATACGTAGACTACACGGCTTCTCCGGAGGACTGCCCCCCCCCCCACCCACCCCCGACCGCACGGAGTCCGGACAACGGCGACTTTTTAATGGCTTTTGTCTTCAGACGATGGAGGGTCTTACTGGTGCTGAACGTGCTCGCGGTCGCCGGGTTCATGACTTTCTGGGCCAAGTGCAACACGCGCAGCATCCAAGCCGTCGGTCCGGAGGCTCCGGCCGCCGGGATGAGGCCCCGGGCCAACGGGACGGCGCAGGGGCCCAGCGTCAGCCACGAGGTGCTGCTGAAGAGGCTCAGCTCGCTGGAGGATGTGGTGTACAGGCAGTTAAACGGTAAAGAGCAGCTGGAATAACGTGTGATCCTGACGGTCCTCAGGATTCTGCTAAAGAAGGAAAAGTCAATGCTTGGTGACTTTTCCCTTGACTTTCTCACTGGGGGCCCTGATATGAGGAAGGTCTGACAGTAGAAACAATAGAGCCCAAACCTCTGGGCCTGTCAATCCAACACATTATTTCTGTCATTTTTAAGCATGTGTGATGCCTGTTAAAAAATTCTAAATCACAAATGTTTTATATATTTAAACCTTAACCTCTGTAGATATACAGTATGTAAGATCAACAACAATATGTGATTCCTTTAAACATCAAATTGTAAATGTTAAATGCTACTTTATTTGGTGCAGAAATGCAATGTTATCCTGAATTTACGGGGGGTGGGTTATATTATATTGTACTATATTTTATATTTTACTACATTTGTGATATTTTTCCCAAAAAATACAACAAACAGCAGAACATTTGACTAGCTTGACTACATTAAAAGGCTTCATGCCTGTGGGACAATGTAGCTCCTCCACCAGCGAGGTTAGAGGTCAGGGTCGACAGCAGAGCAAGAGCTCAGTGCCTTCAGCAGGATGTTTGCCAGCACAGAGGCCCAAAAAGACGTCTTATCATGTGGAACAATAGTCCCTTTAATCACTCTGCCACCTACAAATAAGCCCAGTCACACTGAGGAGATTCTTGCTTTATCCCTAATTTGAAACGGAGAAAACCTTGAAGCTTCATTAGCAGCACGCAGCCAAGACATGGAAATGTTTTTGACTTTTGATTGTTAAAAAGAGTTTCCTCTCTTGAGAACTGACCCCAGTCTTGGAATCTCTTGATTAGGCCTAATTTCCACATCCCTATTGTGCTCAAATGTGTCCCTACCTGTATGTTGAAGGTATTCTATCAGAATCTTTGCCCCCAGTTATCATAAATGAATTGACCTCAGATGTTTGCCAGTTTTGACAGCGACTGACTACATGCTGTATGTCCGTGTGTGGTTGGAGCTGCGGTGAGCAGGCAGGATATCAGCCGCGAGCCACAGAGTGTGGTACTGAGAGGAGAGTGACTCAGCCAGACCAAAGCATCCTGACATGCAATCTTCTCCTCCGTTTGCCTCCCCCCCAGGTCTGTCCAAATCTCTGGGCCTGATCGAGGGCTTCGGGGGTCGGGGTAAAGACGGCCTTGCTGCCACGCTATCGCCGGCCGAGGAGAGCGATGCCAAATACCTGAGGGAGAAGTACGGCTACAACGCCTACCTCAGTGACAGGATCTCTCTGGATCGGACCATACCGGACCACCGGCCCGGCAAGTGAGTGCATGTCAAGTGGGTTCACTTTTTTCGATTCGCTCCCAACGTTGGTTCACAACAGTGTTTTGGAAAATTACATTTAAATATCATCAGCAACACGTTTTCATTGGATCTGCTTTTTTTGGGGTATAAAGTAGTTCCAATGGTAACTGTCCACTGTGCGTTCTGTGCATTGACCCGGAAACCCTGACACTGTTTATTTAAAAACATGTTGCTGATGAATTATTTAAATGAAGCATAGCGATAGTTCAGGCAATGAAGTCCCCACTGGCATTAGCTAATTGGCGTCAGCTGTTTCCTTCATGCTTCACAACAATAACTGGATCATTCACAGCCGCGTGGTAATCAGCAGACTAGTCTCATCCAATCAGATGCATGCAGGTGCACAACGCCATTTCTCATGCTGGTTCTCTCATGCCAGCAGCTCCCTCTACTTATTCATGCATGTGTTATTCATGCATGTGATTGTTAAAGGTGCACTATAAGTGAGTCAGAGCATTATTACAGCTGCCAATAACTTTCTATGTAAAGGCATAGGGGAGTCCTGTCTACCTGAGCGTAGAATGAAGCGTCTCCCTCTGTGTGAGCGGTAATCCTTGTAGCTTCTCCTTGCTTTGTTGGCATAGTCATGCCAGCAGCACATGCTGTGAAGGGAGATTCTTTGTCCAGTAACGATTTTGTCAACTTATCGATATGTTGATTTCATCAACCGATGCGTCCGACTGAGTTTCTCCAGAAAGAATCACGCATAAGCACCACTTTCGATCTTGTATTTACCAGCGACGTGCTTGTAAATTCTCGGAAATAAGTCAATCAGCATGAAGAAAAGCATAAAAATAGGACTCGTCGTCTGAAGAAGTCTTAGTACTGCTCTCAAACGGAGGTGCCTGCTGATAGCGCCGTCTCGACTGATGGCAATCGCCGCGGAGGCACAGCGCCCTGCCTACAGTTCCCCCTCAGGTACACACCGTCCGCTTTGTCAGCGCTTTTGCTGTAGTTTGCACACTGTTAGCGCTGGTGGCACCGTTAGCCGCGAGCAGCCATGTTGAGAGCCTTCGGGAGGCAATAGAAACGCTCCTAATCTCAAATGTAGCACTTTTAAAGGAGATTTGTCTCCCGGCACAATCTGTGTTGTGTACACACACACACACACGCACACACACACACACATACAGAGGCAGTCCTTGGATTAGCAGGTGGAAAAGGTGCATTTCCATTTGTGCTTGCATATCAGCGATGAATGTGTACAGCGTGCTCTTCCAGATAGCTCTGTGCAGTGTTTTACATCTGCATGCACGGTATGTGGTATTATGCTTCTCCGTAAATGCTCCTTTTAGGAGTCTTGTCGCTGGCCCACATTGCTGGTTAAGCGAGTAACACCCCTTCTGTTTGAAAGTCAGTGATGATGAGAATGCCCTCGGCCAATCGCTGCCACCAGCTGTGTGTGCGTGTGTTTTGGGGTGGGGGGGGAGGGATCTGAAACCAGCGCTCTCATTTGTCACTCAGGGGGGGTCTTTCATGTTTCCCGGGATCAAAGTGGCATGCGAGGCGTGTTGGGGTGTGATATCTTCAGGCTTAGCAACAGCATGTATAAGCTGGAGTCTGAGGAGCCTGCTATGTTTAACTGAAGGTCCCTTCACACTGCAGAGCCGGAGGTGGTGCTGAAACGAGAGGGAGAGAGGAGGGGGGAGGGGAGGGGGGGGGCAATGGAAAGAGACGAAGAAGAAGAAACACGGTAGTTTTGGGGATACACTGATGATTATATATTTTGTCCAAGCCTGCTTTTCCCAACACGAATAGTAGTAGTGAGAGTTGGCTGATACACAGCTTATGGTCTGTATTGACGCGTACCATCGGCTGATCAGTAACAAGACACTGCGGTACACGAATGCCAAAAAGGAGAGCCATCAGCTGATGACTCAATGAAGCTGTACTTGTAATGTGACAAGTTCCCACTCTCACACTTGTAATCGCTCATGCCGCCACACGCTGCTGTTACCGGTTACACTGATTTGCACCATCCCTGCCCCCCTCCTGTTCTTTCCTCTTATTACCATAATTGCTGTGGCGTGTCTTGCCTTGCACATTATGTGGGCTACATATATTTCTCCTATCAGCGTGATATGTAACTGCTGTGTTTTTGTATACCTTCCCCCTCAGACTGTTGCAATGCTTCTTGGTTTCATATGAGCTTCTTTGAACACAGTGCCTTTTTGCTTTTTTTGGCAACTGCAGGTCCTCCTGTTCCAAAGAATAGTCCTAATTTCTTTGAATGAAGTGTCTCTGAATTAAATATATTTCGAGCACAAATATATTCCACCTCAATGTTTGTAATATTTATAATTCAAGCTCTTTGTTCTTGTGAAAAGATCAATATCTAAAACATCAGGGTTTCTTGTCAGATAGCTTAAAAGGGAGAAAGACAACTTAGGATTTCCAGCCAAAAAGCCTAACTGGTTGAACAGGAAGCCTCAGTAAAAAAAGATGTCAGCAGCTCCACGGAGCCAGTTTGGTCTGTTAGGCCAGGCGGGCACGGAGAGAGAGGTTTTATCTCACAGATGGTCTGTTTGCGTGTCTCTTGTGCAGATGCAGAAAGGTCAGCTACCCGAGAGATCTCCCCCAGATCTCCCTCATCTTCATCTTCGTCAACGAGGCTCTGTCGGTGATCCTGCGCTCAGTCCACTCAGCTGTCAATCACACGCCGGCTCACTTGCTCAAAGAAATCATCCTGGTGGACGACAACAGCGATGACGGTCAGTAGAAATGGAAGATTTCCCAAATCTCAAATGAGGGAACTCCTTTCACTCCTTCAGATTTGAATCTGTTCTCAGTGTAATCTGTTGTAAGTGTAACACAGTATGGCCTGTGCTCTCCTGACAAAAATGGGGGATGCAACAATCCAATGCTGTGTCTCCTTTCGTGTTCATCCGTACTTAACACTTGCAATTCTGTGAGTGCGTTCAAACTGACAAGTATGGCAAAACAAAGTGCACTATGAGCACCTGGATGGTGTACTCAGACCTGTCAAAAGTTAAGTGTGGAACACTTCACACTTCTCACCCTCAATGTTCACCACCTTGGATACGTGGTGGAGGCGGAGGGACCACCAATCGGGTGAAAATGGCCGAGACAGCAGCGTTATCTTCAACCTCGCGTGAAACGGGGGCCACACACAAGCAAGTAGAAGTACATTCATTTTTACTCAGCTTTAATACTCTGGCGTGACAACTTTGTGCCCGCTAGCCTCCCTGATCTGACCCGGGTTCACTGAGGTGAAAGGGCTGAAAGCAGCACATAGACTGCACCAAGTTTATCCACGATTGTTTCCACAAACAAAGGCTTTTGCTCTCAGAGTGATGCTACAACCACATGAAAACAACGCAGTGGCATTTTGGGAAAACACACTTATAGATGAGAAGTTCGATTCCACATCTTTGTCAGACCGAGAGAAGAGATGATAAGATCCCAATAAACCTGGAGAAATAGTTGATGTGAAGCTATTTAACATTTGCTGTCACAGGTCAGCTTTAAATATTTGTTCAGCTTTAAGATTCTATAAATAAATAACTATCATTATTTTTACATTTATGGCAACATCTGGTCTGTCAGCTGACACAATCATTTACTCTGCAGCAATGATGATGATGATGATGATGTGTGTGTTAGCATTTATGTTCCTCTCCAGATTTTCCATCTTTCATAGAATTTCTATGATATGATGATATTTTACGATACCTTATTGATTTGGAGTCTGCTGTTGGTTAGCTGTAATTAACCAATAAAAAGGTATAAAATGTTCCACATTTCTTTGTTGGTTAATTACAGTTAATGGCTCCATGGAAGTTACTGGTCCCAGCCAGTGTTTAACGGACGGATATGAGCGCGGTGTCAGTCTGGTCATATTTGCTTTGCCCACCAGGAAGCAAATATTTTCCCAAATGGTTAACTGATCCTTTCAGGCCTCTTCACAATGATTTACAATTGTCTCTGTGTATATGAACCTAACCCTAACTAAACTAACTAACTAACTAACTAAACATGTCGGCATGTGGCTCATCACCACAGGTAGCATTATTGCGTAGGCAGCAACCTAAACTGTTCTTAATCTCATCATTTGCATAAAAAGAGTAGGAATAAAAAACACACTACATGCTCCCAACATAACACAAACTACATACGCATTGCTATGTTACGCATGAACATGCTGACACGTTGCTCCCCGATGTGTTGCATCATGGGACAAAGGCAACAAACTTGTGATACGACTTCATCGGCTTGACTAAGAGATGAGCGTCTCCGTGACAGGCGCTGCGGTCGCTGCTGTTGAGGAGCAGCATTTGCGTATCGGTGACTGATGGTGCAGAATTTTTTTTTGCGGGGCAGACGGGCAGATGGAGGCGGAGCACTGCAATTGGATGTCATGTCCTTGTCTTATGTATTGGGAAGGGCTGCCAAGCCCGGCATTGTGAGACGAGGGGACAGAGAGAGAGAGAGAGAGAGAGAGAGAGAGAGAGAGAGAGAGAGAGAGAGGACGGGAGGGGAAGGAGATGAAGCCCGGCGAAAGGAGAGAGGAGGTACAGGAAGGATAAAGAGCAAAGGGTGTTGGTGTTCAGAGAGAAATGAATGAAGGAGGGATGAAACTAAAAAAGAAAGAAAGACAGCTGAAGGGATTGAAAATAGGCAAAGTGAAAAGGAGGGAGAAGGAAGAAGAGAGAAACGGAGATGAAGAGGCATCAAAGAATGAAAGGAGATGCTGAAGGGGCAAACCAGGCTATTAGAGAGAGTGGCAGAAAGAGAGAGAGAGGGAGGGAATGGTCGAGAGACAGCGAGGCTCTAAGATCAATGAGGTCAGACAGAGAGGAGGAGAGAGTGCAAGGCGATGGATACCCGGAAGAGAGAGAGAGAGAATAATCTGACAGAATGGAAAGCAAAGACAAACAAGGAGGACGTGAGGAGGGATGAGACGGTCGAGTCTTAAAAGGAAACGGCTGTTATTCTATCGCTCTTATTGTCGTCAGATCTCATGGAAAGATCCAAAAGCAACAACGTTCTCGTCTGTCACTCAACACTTCCCTACCCTGCCTGTGTCACTTAGCCCCAAGCCCACTGGTCTCTACTGAAGACATAAAGCTTTTTCTTTTAAAGCCTCATAAATACACATGGTTCCATCGTTCCTCATGTTTCTTTCTCTTCGTTGTACTGATGTTACTGTGTGCCACAACTATGAAAACCCTTGTTGTTATTAAAAGGATTTTTTTTTCATATTAAGTTCAGTTCAATTCAATTTATTTTGCATAGCCCAAAATCACAAATCTGCCTCAGAGGGTTTTGCAATCTGTACAGCATACAACATCCTCTGTCCCAGGACCCTCGCGCCAGAAAAGGACCCTTTTCGCCAGCAGGACGGTGGATGCGGTGCCACCGTTCATTGTCATGAAGTGACACGTGTGGTGGAAAAACTATTCAATAGTACCGAGTGAGTCCTATAATACTGAATACTGAAACAAGAGACATTGAGGAAAGAAGTTTGTCTGTAAAGTATAAAGAGAAGGGGGGGAAGGTGTGTTTCTCACCAAGACATCTGTTTTGTTTCTAATCTACACATTTTACAATAGTACCTGCAATAAAACCTTTACGACAGATCCTAATCTGTACATCCTGTGGTTTACTACCTCGAAGCTAAACACTCTGTTATTACTGTCTGCGCTCCTTTTCGGATCCTTCCTTCTGAAGGAGGCTGCAGCAGACATCCCATAGAGGTTTGACAAACATTGAATAAAGCAAAATAAGATGGTCACGGTAGAACATTAAACAGCACATTGAAATGTTCTGTCACACACGTCAGTCAGTGCTCTCTGATGTGATGTAATGGAGGTGTATGGCGCTTGGTCTTTGAAATAAGAAAGATATAGGACATTATTCTTTCAAAGAAGTGTTTTCCAGCGCTCCACTCCTCTCTCACTTGAAATGGCCGGTTGGCTGAGAGCCAGCCATCCATCGCAGAGGGGGGAAGAGATTGCAGCGGCTCAGAGGGCGAGGCATGCAAACAAATAACACTCACCGCTCTCACCGCCTGCCCCGCGAGTCACCCGGCTCCGTGGCCCAAAGTGTGTATGAACGATGTGATGTGTGTGTGTGTGTGTGTGTGTGTGTGTGTGCGTGTTTGAGAGAGAGAGAAGACACAGCATGGGAAATGAGTTTGTGAAGAAATCATAAGAGGCAGAGAGAAAGAGATGGAAAACACAGAGAGCATGAGAAATGTGTTTTTTGTTGAAGGGAATTTTTTGTGTGTGTGTGTGTGTGTGTGTGTGTGTGAGATGCAGAGGAAGAAGGGTTGCTAGTGTGGGGGGGGGGCTGATGAGTAGATTGACAGATCAAAGGCGGAGCAGTCTTTGACACTCAGGAAGCCGCAGACTCTGCTTGGTGTTGTGTTTTGGAGTCGGCTGGAGCTCGAAACAGAACCGCGGGGAACAGAGAGCAGGTTTGATGTCGTCTCTCATGTTTCTGTGGGTTATTCATTCATTTGTGTGAACAAACGGATCATCGTGTAATTGCTGCTTTTGGTTGCTTATGCCCACGTCAGACGGTGACAACGGTCTGCATACATCACAGTTGGTGATCTCTGTCAGACCTGGACAAGAGATGATACGATAATCATCCTAATAAACCAGGGGAATAACTGATGTGAAGCTATTTCAGGTGTACAAGCTACCTCAGCTCACCAGCAGGCCAGCTGAATTGCTCAAATATATTTTTTGCTTTAAGATTCTATAAACTCATTATTTGTACTATTATGGCAACATTGGGTCTGTCAGCTGACTTAATTATTTTCTTGATGATTTGTGTGCAAAGTGTGTTTGCATTTTCTAAAAGCTTGTGCAGTCTTCTCCAGATTCTTTTAAATGAATTGCTATGATGTCGCACCCGGAGGCTGCTATTGATTGAATGTAATTAAAGTGGTTAAATGTAATTAACCAATAATAAGCGTTGAATGTGCAACATTTCTTCATTGGCTAATTACAGTTTATGAAAAGAAGCAGTCACATTTAGTGTTTTATTTAATTATGTAGCGAATCCATCTGAAAAACAAATGTGAATTTAGCAATTAGCTGATCATTGTAAACCTTCATACACAAAGTTTATATAAATAACATATTTAAAATATAAATAGAACAACTTGAAGGGTTATAGTGTGTTAAAGTATTAAGGTACTTAACTAAATAAGTTACAAACCGGCCAGTTTCTATTTTGCACTGTGTGGTTACTGTACGGTCCCTGACCGTGCTGAGGGCCAGCCTGGCCCAAGACAGACATCCTAAAGGGTCTTGAAGGGTTTCAGCATCATCAGATTCAATTTTTTTTACCACAAAATCTCTAATAAATGTGTTAAAACGACTGCCAAAATGTTTTTGACCCGCTCCTTCTGGGTGCTCGCAGAAAAGGCCTCTCCAACTCGACTGTACTGGGCTGCTGCCTGACGAATGCATTGCATCGGCATGCCTTCACAGAAGTCAGGATGAGAGCGACAGCGGGGCGGGGCTGGTCAAAGGGGGTTCAATTGAAGTAAAGAAGCAATGATCAAATGAAAATGAATAATCATTGCTTTCCTTTTATGGCCCAAAATTGTTTGTAATTTCAGTAGTTAGCTTCACAAAAATGGCAAAAAAGTAATTGGACTACTTGAAACACTGTGAACATACGAATGTAGTTTAACTACATGAAGTGCACCTCTCCCCAACACTGTTTACATACAGAGTAGGATGATTAGTGACGATGTAGGTTAATAATGACAGAACATTACAGATGATGTTGCTGGAAAAGGGATGAAGATTATGTAAAACAAGTAAGGAGTCATTATTTTCAATATGTTGATGAGAATAGGTTGTAGTATTTTGTGTAATTGTTCCAAAGATGCCTGTAGTATGGTAAGTCTCTTCTGAGCTGTAAAAAATGAAGAAAAGTATCAGCGAGACATATGTAGATTTGATCAGGTTTTGCATATCAGCATCTGTGGCGACGTCGTTCTGAAATGCGGATCAAAACCCTTGTAGATCCGCTTGCAGACAATGAACGCTAGTCTTCTAGTAAAGTAATTTGTTGCATTAAATTGGTGGGCTCCAGTACTCTTTGGATAAAATCTCTGAGGTGTCTCTTTATGTAAGCACAAAGTACATTTCAATCACTTGAATTGAATAAACTAAGCCTTATAATCATGCTGCTACAACAAGAAGAGTTTATTGTTCTGGATGACTCATCTAAAGTGTTATCGTCACTGTGGCTGTGTGCCTGTTAATGGCCCACATTTAAGACTTCAATTTCTTTTCAGTCATGGAATCAAATGAAATCACCCACAAGAGCAAGTAAGTAATGAGTGATACACAGTACTGAACATATGGTACAAGCTCAGGTTGGCGGAGGGTAAAGTAGAATCTGTGGGCAGATCTCCATCGGTGTCCTTTCTTTGGTAAGTTTTACTGAGAGCTTTAGAGAAATGATCTACTATTTTACCCCCTTTCTTTATGAGGTCAAAGGTCAAGGGTGAGCTACTGTGCTGCAAAACAGGGCTTCAATATGTCGTTCGAAGACTCATCTAGAAGAAAGGATGATGCTGTGATCTCAGCTTTAAGGACAGTCTCTCTAACCATCACCTGTTGTTCGTGGTTCTGTGCGTTACCTTTGTTTGACGGACTGCAGAGCAGCTGAAAGGACCGCTGGAGGAGTACGTGAACAAGCGCTACCCCGGCCTGGTGAAGATCGTCAGGAACCAGAAGAGGGAGGGACTGATCCGAGCCAGGATCGAGGGCTGGAAGGTGGCCACCGCCGAGGTGACGGGATTTTTCGACGCCCACGTGGAGTTCACCCCGTCCTGGTGAGTAAGTCCGGCATTTTTAGGATCTCCTTCTCTCTCTTGAATGAGTACGACCCATCGAATTACAGAACACGAGAAGAAAACGGCAACAATGATGGACTTAGTGTACCACTTTTAAAATGAAAGTTACAAAGTGCTTTACTGAATCATCGAAGCAAAAGGACAAAGGATAGCAGAAGCAGCATAAAAGGAACACGCAGAAAGCAATTTCACACCTGAGACGTTTTAAGATAAGGAGAGGAAGAGACGGGTAGAGCCTGCAAGAATCAGGTTTAAAAGATACCCGAGGACATGCAGCTCATCAAATAACAAGCGGAACAAAAAGCGAGCAACGAGGTAGACATGGGACATCTCTCAGAAGCCTGTTCATAAAAGCACATTTCAAGGAATCTTTTAAAAGATGAAACTTATTCGGCCTGGACGTAGACACTTGACTTCTCACAAAAAAATGTTGCTACGTCCCGCTGACACCTTTTTATTAGGTCTCCCGCTCGTTTTCCAGCTCCAGAGTTCGTACACAACCCAGTTGACTCAGCATAAATAGACACATGCCCTCCAGAGCTGCACTGAGCGGAATCAAATAGAATTAGTAATAAAGTTGGTTCAGCTTGAGGGACCTTGTAACCGACTGAAGTGGGTGAGAGAGCGGAGATCTGAAGGGGAGCTCTGTGCCGCGTGTCCCTTTTAGTCTGTGTGTACATGTGTGTGTGTTTTTCACTCTTCGTCAGGGCCGAGCCGGTGCTAGCCAGAATAAAGGACGACCCCAAGAGGATTATTCTGCCCTCCATCGACAACATCAAGCACGACACGTTCGAGGTGGAGCGCTATGAGAACTCGGGCCACGGGTACAACTGGGAGCTGTGGTGCATGTACATCAACCCGCCCAAACAGTGGTGGGACGAGGGGGACATATCCGCTCCCATCAGGCAAGCCAACTTCATTTATAGAAACACACACTCCGATGAACATGGATATGAACGCAACAATGGTCGCGTTGTCAAAAGTGCATCCTCTTGGGATGAGTGAGGGAAAGAAAACGAGGGTAAAAAGACAAATATGCTGCTGATTGGGTACCACACTGCCTCAAAGTATTCAAAAAAAGAAAAGCTTAGAGTGTCTGCACTGGAAATGGGATTTTTAAAATCTGTTTAACCGGATAATTGTGTTGAATCTGATTTTCGAATTTTAAAATTCAAAATAAACACTGATAATTTACCAGATTAAAAACATAGAAAATAGAACAAAAAATGTATAAATAGAAAGTGAAAATACATGCATCCCATTTAAACATGAGCAAAAACTTGCAGCTTCACATACTGAGCATCTGCATCCATACTGTATGAAATCATATAAAACCACATTCATTCAGGTTTAAATGTACATTCACAATGCTACACACACCCGCAGGTCTTAACGTCAGTTTGTTGTGTTCTTCTCATCGCAGGACTCCCGCCATGATTGGCTGCTCCTTCGTGGCCAACCGCGACTACTTTGGGGAGCTCGGCCTGCTCGACTCGGGCATGGATGTCTATGGAGGGGAGAACATCGAACTGGGCATCAGGGTTTGTGTGTCACCCAGTTTCCTCTCTTTTTCCCCGCTCCCGCTGTACCCCTGTAGCTTTAAGTGGAGCAGTGGCCACCGTAGCGTGGCACTGCTGATAAATGAGGCCCCATTAAGAGTCCTGGAGGACCAGCCCTCTGTGTGCTGCTCACAGCAGGGCAATGGTGATAAATGGGTCACATGGAGCGGAAAGGTTGGGGAGGTTGCTGCTGCACATTTTAGAGAGATTGGAGAGTTTGTTGTTGTTGTTCTGCGGTATTATTTTGTTGCTGTTTTGTTTGTCTAAAAGACAAAGGAAAGAATATGCTAATGAGGCACGTATGCTGTTAGCAGTTATCAACTTGAGGTAGGGATATTGTGGTGGTTGTATATGTAGGCTTGTTTTGATATTTCCTGCCCTCTTGTGGCCTAACCAATATAATTGCTGGCTTTAAGTTGATTCCCCTGCTCTTTAACACCACCTATCTGCAGGTGTGGCTGTGTGGAGGCAGCATGGAGGTGCTGCCTTGTTCCAGGGTGGCTCACATCGCACGGATGAAGAAACCGTACCACAGCAACATAGCCTTCCACACGCGGCGTAACGCTCTACGCGTGGCCGAGGTCTGGATGGACGAATACAAGTCCAACGTCTACCTGGCCTGGAACATCCCCATGGAGGTGAGCGAGGGCCGTTGCTGTCACTAGTCCTAGTCACCAAAGTAAACGTTACCACGGCGGCTGGTAGTGCTAACTACTGTGCTCTTCTGTTGTTTATCACACATAAACTATCGGTGCTGTTGGTGCAAATATAAAGAGCAACTCTTCTTGTGCTGCAGATGTTTTTTAATCGGCTCTTTTGAAAAACAAATGTACAAACTTGTATGAACGGGGAATTAGTTGAATCATTATCGTGCTAATCAATACAAAACCATAGCAAAAATGGATAATATTTGTGTTAAAATATTTAACCTATTATTTTATAATTATATTTTTGAACTATTTGTATGAAAAAATATAGCAAAGACTCCCTATAATGACTCCTTGCGCTTTTGCAGAACCACGGTATTGATTACGGAGACATCTCTCAGAGGGCTGCGCTGAGGAAGAGTCTGCAGTGTAAGAGCTTTGAGTGGTACCTCGACAATGTTTACCCAGAGATGAGGAGGTACAACAACACGCTGTTCTACGGCGAGGTGAGTCAGCAGTCAAATTCGATGAAGTACATCGAATGCTTGCTGCATTTACATGAGTGGAAGTAAAAAATACGAAGTATACCTAATTACTGTTGGGGAATGTTAGAACTTAGATTGTGCCAAGTCAAACGCTTTTTTTATTTCAGATCCGTAACTCTAAAGCGAGCCACCTGTGTATGGATCAGGGCATGAAGGAGAACCACACGGCCACCCTGCACCCTTGCCATGGATGGGGTCCACAGGTACAACACGGACACCAGAGGCTCAGGCAAATGGCCACAGAGTGCACCTCTCACCACTTCCTTCTTGAAAACCCCGGTCTACTCGTTAGCGTCTTTCACCAGTGACATGATTTACAGCCTCTTAGGAGGGAGCTCTGCTGTCAGGATGAAAATGTCTCTGTGTTGCACTTTTTGCGCTGAGTCAGCCAGTGTCAGTTCCTCAGCCCTTTGGCCCGCTAAACTCCAGTTCTGGTAGTGAGTGCAGCACAATATCACCCTTTCTACAAAAGACCCGCTAATGTTGCATTTCTATGTTATCAATCGGGACAGTGGTCACGAGAGTCAAAATCTCTCACAACAATTGGGTATGCGATGGGAAACTTAACAGTAGACACAATGTACCATGTTGTATGAGTGCTGTCTCTGTGATTTGCCTCAGTTAGGACGTTACACCAAAGAGGGTCAGCTGTTCCTGGGCCCTCTGGGCAGCACCGGGGACGACACTCGCTGTGTGGTGGACGATCAGATCAGCAGCTTTCCTCAGCTCCTCAACTGTGACAAGGTGTCCAACGTGAAGCAGAAGACGTGGCATTTCTCTCAGGTGAGAAGTCGATAGAAAACTGTTTTCCTTTGTTTGCTCACAAGAAAAGCAGAATTTCATTATTTTGTGAGTGCTACATGAGAAAACGTCTTCTTTGGGCCCTCTGCAGTCTACGTAACGGTCACATTGAATAGGTTCAAACTGTGATTTATCGGTCCAAAGTATGTTCAGCTGGTGTTCAGTGCTAACCCTAGACCAAGCTTCTATTTCTCTTGTGAAGTTTGAAGAATTGCTTTGCCAAAGCAACATGTTGCCTATTAATTCCCACTGGTTTTAGGCAGCAGTATTGTGCACTCAACACTCAAACAAGAACCTGATCCTATTTAAATCTGCACATATATTAAAGCTAAGCTTCCAGCTTCTTTGAACAATGTCTGGGCATTTCTTCTATTCTTAATGAACTGTTGCTCAGAGGTATCTTCGTCTCTTTCTGACTGTCTGGTTGATATATTGTGCAGTGTTTTCATCTCCATCAACAAGACAGACCCTTCATACAAATGAACATATTTGTAATGAGGACTTAAAACCTAAAAGCATGAAAGATCATGAAAGAAATATAGAATAGTCATCTTAGCCACCTAATCAAGCTTTTTTGGCATTAGATTCCAAACTTTTAAAAGATTATAGTATACAGTATATACTGTGTACAGCTGTAAACAGGTAGTAATGAATATAATTCATATAATATAGAATGCGGTTGTAGTAAAGTATGCCATAAATAGATCATAAAGTATAATATGTCATAACCATGTCATCAACAAAGTCATAGTATAAGATATCATAATGTCATACCATGGCATGTCACACAATAATGAAAAGTGTGTAGTATAGTATGCCATAAACGAGTCATAAACATGTATTTCATACACAAAGTAATTAAAAAAGTCCTGTTCATTTTTCACAATTAAGAATGAAATAATGAATACATAACCTGAGAAGATTAAATGAAAACATCTGTGCACATCTGGCATGGGTCTTGTCACATCCTGTTCCAGTCACATGTGGTACAATGGCCATCTTTGAACACCGCTAAAACCAGAACGCTGTCTCTCCTCCCCGCCCTGCAGAATGAATCTCTCATAAATCGAGCCACAGGACGCTGTCTGGAGGTGGTACCGGCTAACGTTTACTTCGGCCACCTGCTTGTCCTGCACCCCTGCTCCGGGCAGAGGTGGACCATCAAGAACACCATGAAGCAGTAGTCTCGTAGACTCGCCAAATTCACCGGGACCAATGACACACGAGGACATTATCAAGAGCCGTCCCCTGACCTCGGCTAGGCCAAGGGACAGCTGATGGGGGACAGACTCCTCATATTCTCAAGAAAAGACAAGAAAGAGAAACGAGCGGTCAACATCTCAGTGATACAAGGTTTGTGAAAAGTGTTTTGATTTTCACAAAGTGGACGTTCAAATGATGCAAATGTAGCATGAGAACTCTTTCTCCATCTGACAGGCTTTCGATGTGACGTTGCCATTATTCCTCTGCCACTTCTTCTCTACCATGTTTTTAGGTGTAACGATGGAGATGTGATGAGCCAAAACTCTGTTCTGTCTTATGTGTGTGTGTGTGGGGGGGGATAAGGTTTCTATCTTCATCCTCAAAATGTTTCTGGTTTATCTCCATCAATCACGTTCTGTCTTTGAAGACGTGTAGAAGATTAAAACACCTGGAGTTACATGATCAGTAATATGCACTGATCAGAATCCATTGGTAGTTTGTTATAAGCTTCATTCATGGTTCTCCGCTTTTTAGCTTAAGTTTCCTGAAAATGAAAGAGTTTCTACTTATGACAGGCATACAATTTAGTTAAACATTAATGCCCCAAAGTGATTTTTATTTTCTCCCTATTGAAGCCTAGACCTTGTAAATATCTATAATTTGAAGATAAAGGAATAAACAATAAATATTGCTTGGTGTAACACAGCGTATTTGTTTGCAGTTGCTGTAAATCATCTCAAAAAAGAAATCACATTTTCGAGGGCTACTGGGCTAAAATCATGGTTTTATATGTCGTGGATGCATTTGTCTTTTTTTTTATTGTCATTTTTACTCAAAGTATTCGATAGCACCAAATGCATTACATCTTGTAGCATGATTGTAAGTACTGTATACACATGGGGACAAAGTTTAGTTAAGGTGAGCCTATTAATCCTGTTAACTGCTGAGTGCCATAAATACTGAAGATGGCCAAACATAATAGGCTGCAGCCTGAAGCACTTTTCTGGACACCGAGTCTGCAGACTAAAGGAGGAAGATGGAATCAGGAAGGGAAAAGTGCACAAGTGTTGTGGAAATGCTGGAGGCCTTTGAAGCCCATATTACTATTGTATTGAGATGTATATGATGTCATGAATTCAATTAATTCCATGTTATCAGTTGGATTTTTTGCTCTCAAGATTGTCTTCCAATAAACAACTGGTTTCCTGTTTTTTGCACGGTTACTATTTCTGACGATAGAGTTGTTTTATGAGTTGAGTACAGTATTAATTGTGTTTGATAAAACTGAGTTTAACGTAATTTCTTTTAAATATCATAATACAGTATGTCGACATGATTAAAAAGTCAGAAACCTTGATTGATTTGACATTAATGTCAAAAAAGCTATGAGAGCACCATAACATAGTATGTCATGAAAGGGTGATTTAAAAGCCATAGTATAATATATTATAATATATAAAAGCCATACATAGTACAGTATGTCAAAACAGTTATAAAAAGCTCATAACAAGTCAAATATGTCCAAAATACATAAATAAGCCATATCATAGTTTGTCGAAAAAGTCATGAATGGCCATAGTACATTATGTAATGAAAAAGCCTAGCCCCCGGGGGATCGAGTCTCGACCACCAGGAAAGATAAATGGTCATTTTGATATAGTCCTGTTTGGGCTGCCGATGTCTCAATGTGTGGCAATGTGTAGACCTTTAATAGATAACACAGCAGTAATGTATCCGTGGAACCCGGAGATCGCTGGGGACAGCTAGCTTGTAGGTGTAAGGGAGATACAGTCAGCTCAGTAAATCAGGGTAATCGATCAGTGTTGGGTTAGTGTGCCAATGGGGGTAAATACGGTGTACCTCTTACTGCATTAAGCTCAGTGTGGGCTTTAAAGCCTTTCACA